TGTGAAACAGGAGTGAACAATACAAAGCCTCTTTCCTCAAAAAGCTTATACCCTAGTGGAAGGAGACTAAAAAAAAGTAAACAAATAGATAATATATGTACAAGTTGTGGTTAGTGCTATTACTGGTTACTGGTGTATTGAATACCTGCTGCATAAGACTCACTTGTATCTACAATGATGAATATGACAGGAATCTGCCAGCAAGGGCCTTAGAAGCTGAGTTAACAAAAGACCAAACAATTGTCAGTCTTTGGTAAAAGGAATCACTAAGATATGGCAAATTGTAGTTGTTTTGAAGATTATATTTTATAGTAATATGGACCATTACAAACTGATATGCTATGCAGTATAAAACACTTTAGGTGTTCATTTAATGTTTTAAAAAAATCTTAAGAATAGGAAATTGTGCCTACTATAGTGTTTCCTAAGGCTAAAACCAAAGAAATTTCACATTTCTAATGATTTTTTCTAGGTCAAACTAAACCTAAGGCAGAAATGAAAACACAAAGCTATAATGATATTTAATTGCCTCAATAGCTACTTCAGCAATTTTATGTTTAAGTATTTTATTTGCCATCAGCTTTTGCATATATTTCACCAACATTTGCTAGCTGGCTTTGAGAAAAGAAAACATCAGTAGTTCTTATATTAGCAAAAGATTCTTTCCTCTTTTGAATGTTTTTGTTTCAGGAATGCAGTACTGTATTATCTTTTTTTTTTTAATCAAGGAAAGATCTGTGAATCCTCAAGAGCCATTCATACGGTAGGATCTCCTCACTTGAGAAATGACCTGTCACTGAGACACAGAGGGGAGACAAGAAAGGGTTTCGTTTCACCACGAGCAGGGTACCACTACCAGGGACACAGAAAACTTCATTTCCTTTCAAGCTCTGCTGCCAGGCCTCTGACTCGTGTTTCTTGTGTTTTAAATGGATGATCCTAGGACATTGAGCTATTGCTCACTGGAGTCTTCCCATGTAAAGGAGAGAAAAATGAAGTCATGCTAAGTCTCAGAACTCAAAGCGGCCATACGAATATCACCTTCTTTTTCTTGGGATGTATTCCAGGTATGCAAATTCAACACATAAAGATATTTGAGTCATATAAGTGTAGGTTGCTTTTGGTCTATGATAGTGGTCGGCAAACTCATTAGTCAACAGAGCCAAATATCAACAATACAACGATTGAAATTTCTTTTGAGAGCCAAATTTTTTAAACTTAAACTATATAGGTAGGTACATTGTTATTAACTTAATTAGGGTACTCCTAAGGCTTAGGAAGAGCCACACTCAAGGGGCCAAAGAGCCGCATGTGGCTCGAGAGCCTCAGTTTGCCTACCACTGGCTATGATAATGACTATCTTGGCTGGATTCCCTCAGAATCTACCCCTGAGATATGGTTTCAAGGGATAGTATTTAACTTGGGAGGGAGTAGCAGGAGACACTAGGAGGGGTATGGGGAAGCCAGGTGGGGAAAGGGAAGGAAGTCAATAAAAGGTGTGCTGTGAAGGCCTTCCTGAGGATGCTGGAGCTCAGTCTCAAGGGAAGTTCTGGCATACACTGGATAACATGCCTCCCAGCTACCCCAGGAGAGAGGCAGCCTGACTGGGTGAAGCCTACTTCTGGTCCAGTGAACTCTGGTCAGTGTGTCCAGCTTGCCCTGATCCAGGAAAAAAGCCATGAGGTACAAAGGGGCAGGCTTTCCCAGAAAGCAGACTTCAGAGAACAGGTGTGTGTGTGTGTGTGTGTGTGTGTGTGTGTGTGTGTGTGTGTGTGGAGGGGGGCGTTGGGGGGGATGAGGGGACAGCAGAGAAATATGGGTTAGCTCTGATGGCCTCTGTTACTATCCATCCTTCACATGCTGTGTTGTGTTCAGTTTTCCCTGTTACTGATTCCTCACACTGATGTCATCATACCCACATCAGGAGTATTGATAAGTTGAGCTATGGGTTCCTGCTACAGTTGTACCTAAGGCCATGGTGATTCCCATTATGTACCCCTGTATTACCCATTCTAGATCCCTTCACCCTGGACTAACACTTCTGCTAGCCTGGATTGCTTCCTTGACAAGTGGCCTACATCTTTGTCCCTGTGTCCCTTTGTCCCAGGCTAGGTAGGGTCTAATCCCTTATTGCCATGTCCATCACCAAGCATGGAAAAGATGTCCAGTGAGTGTCCTAAGTGCCAGAAATAATCCTCCCTGCCCCATTTCCTCCTAATGACAAGGGTCAATTTTTGTTGCCTTTATGGTGAAGCCCAAATGAAGAGAGGCCTTTAGATTTAGTGGAACTTTCTGTCCCCTGGCAGAGCATCTTCCCCTGATAGAAAAGCCAGGACTCAATCAGAGATGCAGCACTCTGATATATATATATATATATACCAAAATATATATTGTATCCCTTGGCACAGCAATCCAACCCTGAGAAATATCATCCACAGGCTGGAGCCTTAGCTGTGCCTTTAGAGGCTGTTCTAATGTTCTATCATTATGCTCTATCTCACAGCTTCTGGGTGTGTGATGTATGGCAGTGGATCTTGTGGTATTGTTCCCTTTCTCATACCTCTTTCACTCTAAAAGGAGTTCCTGGCCCCAGGTGATATTATGGAAATCCCAACAATGAACAATCAGATTCTATGTGAGCAACCCAATAGCAATGCTTGCCAGGGCCCTGCAGGCAGGAAGACAAACCCAAACCTAGGATATGTATCTGGGTTTGTGGAAATGAACTTGTTGCCAAGTGACTGCCTGGTTTTCTTGAGGGAATGCCACAATCTTTTTGCAGCAAGCGTTCAGGAATCTGGAGAAGGGCCACACATAAATGGATACACTAGACAAGAAATATAAATTTAGAAGGCATTGGGGGAGCCAGACAGATACATACTCTCTAGTGGAGTGGTTCTCTGACTTTTCCATCCCCTTTGCTTTTATTTACTAGAATATACATATGCCCTTTAGCAAAGCAAACACACAACAATGGTAAGGTTTGGTAAACAATAAAGGATTATCAGGTTAGGGGAATTGCCTTCAGCGGTTCAGCCAGCAGCAGGTAATAATATGCTGAATATCAAAGTCCATCAGCCTTCTGATGGACTCCTCACATTTATTATGCTAACTACTGCTGGTCTTTGCCTCCAGCAAGGGAAGGTACATTACCATTGGCTGCACACTGGCCACTGCAGGTGAAGGGGGTGGTCATTCTGTCTAGATCTGCCATCCCTGCCACCATGGCTACTCCATTCACAGGCCCATTGTACAAATATGGGGGTGACCCAGGACAAAGGCTGGTCATATTTCTTCGGCACTGGTGCCCCTCTGCTGTGGATGCTCTCTTGTGGGCATTCATGTGACACATACAGATGGGCAAAGATGAAGTTTGTGTGTGGTACATGTGTGAGTTCTTGGGGTGAGAGGTGGCAACACCCTCACCATGGTTATGCCTCTGTTTCATGGCTATGCTCCTCTCTACTCAGCTGTAACTGGTCACTGCAACAGGTCTCCTACCTTTGGGAAGTTCTGGTCTGGAAGCAGGTAGCATACTCTTGATCACATAAAGTCCCAATGGCAGGTAAATTCTCCCAAGAACTTCACCCCATCCTCAGCTCCACTCTGATGGCAGTAAGCACAGGCTTCTTCCTGCATGCCTGATACTAACCTGGTTCAGAGCTAGTTGGGTGAATACCTTCCAAACCTCAAAGAAATGTCTGACCCCAGTTGTTTCTGGCTCTCTGTGTGATGTGGAGTGACTTTAGGGTGACCATATATTGTCCAAACAGGGACACTTTTCACAGTAAAAAGGGCACTTTTGATGATTAAGCCAGGACAACAAACAAGAAACAAAGTTATCGCATGCAGAGTTGGAACCCCCTAGTTATCTGCTACCTTTTCCAATCTCAGTGGGCAATTCCTGGACTACTATAAAAATCCCTCTGAAAACCCTGTCACACAAGCTTAAACTCCATCATCCTCCATAATGTCATTTTTTTGCATAGACTCTTAACTCCTTTGCTTCTTCTGCCTTGTAAAACTCCAACCATAGTTACAAGTAGTTTTCTACTACCTACCTACACCACAGTGGCCAAAACATACAAAAGCATGATGACTGGTTCTATTTTAAACTTAGTGTTAGGCCCATTCTTGAGTTCCATTATGCCCCACTTGGGGCTCTTGCCCTGCCTGGGGATTGTAGGTTTCATGATTAAGGCCTTCCCTTTCCAGTAAACTGCCTAACCGTTTCTAGTGGATCGCCTATACCTGGTTCCACAGGTTACTCTGACTGACCTTTATAAGAGATGTAAATATCCCACTCCCCCTACTCTACCCCCCTGATACCATGTTGGTCTGAGCCCTTCGGCTAGCAGATGTAATATTAAATTTATAATTCTTTACCCCTTCTGGCCTCATGAGTTACTCTGTTCCTCCTTCGGTGACCCTAATACTTAGGATGACACATCCCAAGAAGGTTTTACCACTTTTTCTTAGTAATTTGCTTCACAATATCCAAGACAAAGATTTCACTCTTTCTCCTCAAACCTTCCTTGCCCCTCATCCTCCATTATCACGGACGATCCTGCTGCTTCTTTGGCTAATAAAATAGAAGCAACCAGAAGAGTATTTTGTCATTTTCCGGCACCACCTTCCACCATCCCCCATGTCATTTCCTGCCTAGACTGCTGCAGTTGCTTCCTAAGTGACATTCCTTGTCCTCTTGCCATGTCATGGGTTACCCTCAGCCTACCCTGTTGTCATCCACCTTCATACAGGTAGCGCCTGTGCCACGGGTGTGTTCACCGAGCTAGCTGAATTTAAACGATCAATGCTCAGGACTTGCAGGCTGCAGACTGACTTTCTCCTCCACAACTTCCAGGGTCCAGTGGCTTTTGCGTGTCGTCCTCGCCCCGCCCCCGCCCCCGCCCCGACGCCCCGCCCCCCCCGTTCCTCGCCCCGCCCCCCCGTTCCTCGCCCGCCCCCCCGTTCCTCGCCCCGCCTGGGTCCATCGCAGACTCGGCGCTCGGCTGCCCGGCGCATCGACGCCCTCGGCGCTCCGGGCGGGCGGAAGTGGAGGCTGGCGGTTGGGGGTCGCCGCCCGACAGCTTTTCCTGGAAGCGACGGGGACCCGGTCCGAGCTGCTGGAGGGGCGGCAGGGAGGCCCAGGTACGTGTCGAGCCTGGATGCCCTGGCGGCGGCGAGCCAGCTTCCGGAGAGGCGGGTGGGAGCTGCGGTCGGCCCGCGCCGGTCGTCATCCTCTGTCCGACCGGGAGGGGAGTCTGGTAGCCGCCTGCGCCTCGCGGGGCCGGGCCCGGGGGCTCTGTCCTGCCCCCTGAGCCGGGGCCACCGAGTTAGGTCTGAGGATGTGTCGGTGCCAGGCGAGCGGTAGGAGCGGCTTGCGTCCATTTGCCTCTGGTTAGGGCTACACTGGGCATTTCTCAGGCGTCTGTCACAGTCGTAGCATTGCCAGCTGGCGGCTCCGGTTCCACTGGAGGTAGGTGCCGTTGCAGAACCAGCCCAGAACGGCGGGTGACCGGCCGAGTCCTGTCCCTGTGAGCTGCCCTCGGGACCTGCCGCCCGGCTGCGGAGCCGGCTCCCCGCTCAGTAACTCGCCCACAGGCCTGGCGGCGCCTGGCCCGCCCTCCGGGGACTTAGTACACGGACGCTGCCTCAATTCCAACAAACACTTCTTGAAGGGAAATAGGCTAGTTTTAATCATTGAAGGCTAATCATACTAATAAGTATGAGAAAATTTGTTTCATTGTTTTTCGAGTCTGGGAAAACTTAAAAAAACTCTCTAAAAATCAGTCACAGGTTAATGAAATCACTGGGTGCCCCGTATTGGAAAGCTGCTACCAATTCAGGCTAATATGGACCTATTTCCTAATGAGTAACACTGTTTCGTTTGTGTTAGTATATTCCGGGCAGGCTCCGTGTACCATACTAATAACAAAGGCACTGAAACCCAGAAACTTGCCCAGGGTCACCTGTGTGCTCAAAGGTGTTGAATCAAGGGGGATAATAGAAAGAGGATGATATGTGCTTACTATTTCAATGTTCTCTTAGGTTTAAGAAGAAACAATAATTTTAAGCAGAGAAGCAGAGGATTCCCCAGTGTAACTAGGAAGTTTCACAAAATGATTTTTTCCTTGTCAAGCATTTAATTTCCTGTACTGCATATCATTTTGAAGGATTCTCTTTCGAAAAGACAGCTGTTAACCTGCTAAGTGAAATTTACATTCCACAAATATTTGAGAGCATGTTATATAAATCTTATGGGAAAAGAAATTGGTACTCGAAAAACTTTGCAAAGGCAGTCTTCTAGTAAAGGACTTTGGACAATTTCGAGGGTCAGGCAGAGGCAGGATCAGGTGGTGGAGGACATGCTTTTTAAAGTTAGTCTCTCACTTTTTCACCCATTCTCTAGCTTACTCTTCATCTAGCCAGGATTCCTAGTACAGCTCTGATGGCGTAGTAGGAACTTGAATGTTCACTGAATGGGTAATTTTTGGCTAGTATTAAATAGAGAGGATTTTGAAATGGACTAGAATGTGAGATAGCATGAATCACAGTGCTAAGGAGAATGCTGAAGTGTAGATTGTTCTCAGACTTCAGGGAACGTGGCCCTGTGTCCCCTGGAGTGGCTGGTGAAATCCAATGGTGTAGTAGTGTCCAGTTGTAATCACACGATTCTATGTTTATGTTAATTTAAAGTAATTGTTATTGATATAAACACAAAGTAATTGTTGAGAAATTACAAATCTTGAAGGCGTGGACACACTTATAGATATCCTTGGACTTCAGTTTGAAAATTATAGTCAAAGGTATTTTGGCTTAGTAGTCAAAGCAACCACCAATCTGCTTTGTAGCCTGGACTGTTTCTTAGCCTCTTTGGGCTTCAGTCTCCATTTTCCTATAATTAGAGAATACATAAAACTAGATTATTTTTCAGAGTTCTTTCTGCTTTGAAGTTTTCCAACTCAGTGAATCCTATAATCACTTAGCACTTGTCTTATCCCTGTGTTGTCTTAGGGGCTATAGTTATTGCTGATATTTACATATCTGTCAAAAGACTAAGCTCTTGCTGGACAGGCATTAGTCTTAGTTATTTTTCTATCTACTAATTTTAGCATATGCCTGACCACATTGGGAATAAAATAATGTTAGCTTAGATTCAGAAGGGGCATTTTTACCATTTCAAAGAATAGCTAAAAACTAAACTATACTATTGTGTGTAAGTACCGCAGAAATTCAGAGAAGGGAACGATATGTTGAGGTAGAGTAATTGGGAAGGCTTCATGGAGGTCAGACCTTGATGGGAAGGGTGTGGCCTTCAGAGGGAAGGCAGGTGAAACATCTGGGCAGTACAGGAGTAAAGACCCACTGACGGGTAGGTAAGTGATGCATTTTGAATTATGGAGTGACTTGAAGGTCAGGCACAAGAATTTGAAACTGACTGATTAGGCTCCCCCCCACCCCCCTTAAATATTATATTAGGTTTGCTCAAAAACTTGATGTAATATAGGAGGGGACCATACAGTTTGCTTTACTTATGATTTTGGTTTTAGTAATTCTTTCTACTTACTATTTCCCACTTAGAGAAAATCTTGGTGCAATAATGGAAAGAACAGTGGACACCAGGATTTAGGAATCCTGGATTTTAGTTAATTGGAACGTAAACTGCACAAGATGGACCCAAGCATGCCTTTGTTACCTGGAACAAAGTTACCTGGCTCAGAACATAACTTTGTTACCTGGCACAAAGTTAGCATTAGTAATCATTGTGCAACACTGAATGAGTTCTCGCTTTGCTACTTGCTAGCTGTGCTGCTTTTGGCTTAGCTTCATCAAAATGAATTTTTTAGGCCTTTTTCACTTATATAGTTCTGTGATTTTGGATGGCTTATGATTTTCTTTTTCAATATGTTTTTATATTGATTTCAGAGAAGAAGGGAGAGGGAGAAAGAGATAGAAACATCAGTGATGAGAGAAAATCATTGATTGGCTGCCTCCTGTGGTCCCCCAGTGGGGACTGTGCCTGCCACTGGGGCAAGGAATCGAACTGTGACCTCCTAGTTCATAGGTCAACGCTCAGCCACTGAGCCACACTGGCTGGGCTATGATTTTCTTTTTATTGTTGACATTACAGATGTCCCTTATTCCCTACCCGTCATACCTCCCCTCTTCCCAGATGTCACCCTTCCCTCCTTCTGGCTGTAACCACATTGTTGTCTGTGTCCATGGAGTATGCATATATGTTCTTTGGCTATTTCTTCACCTTCTTTCATCCCGTCAGCACCCCCGACTCCCCCAAATCTCCCTTCTGACATCTGTCAGTCTATACCATCTCTATATATAAAAGCCTAAGCAACCGTTCGACCCTTCGACTGTTCGACCAGTAGCTATGATGTACACTGACCACCGGGGGCAGGCGTTCAACATATGAGTGGAAACCACAGGCATGGAAACATGGAACAGACTGATGAATCTCAGAGGGAAGGGGGAGGGTGGGAAGAGATTAACCAAAGATCTTATACGCATACTAGAGGCCTGGTGCATAGATTTGTGCACCAGTAGGGTCCCTCAGCCTGGCCTGCGGGGATTGGGCCAAAACCGGCTCTCGGACATCCCCTGAGGGGTCCCGTATTGCAAGAGGGCGCATGGATTCTTTCAGATTGGTTCATGGTTATAATTTTGTTAACCATAATTTTGAGATGGAGCAGGAGAGAGATGATTATTATAGAAAACTGGATCAAAGAGTTCATGACCCTGTTGCTAAGACTTGTCTGACTTGTGGTAGAGCTGCTCAGGAATAATAGAGTCTGAGTTTATAGAAAACTGAAGGAAGTAAATTGCCATTCTTTAAAACCCTTTCCCCAATTTCTCTGGGAGATCTGTTTTGGGGTCAGTTCAGCCCAGCCTCAAGGGGCAAGTCTATCCTTGGCTAGATTGAACATGACTCAAGGAAGATGTGGCGAAATCAATAGTTTGATTATGTTGCTGGGTAGCCTGAGATACTAGTTGAGTATAAGTTTATGATTAAAACTCAGTAGGCAGCTCTGCAACCAGATTTTTGTGGAGTCCTTTACATCCAAGATGGCTCTGGACTGGATAAGTCTACCTAGTGCTTCTCAAGCATTAATCTGTACACAAATCACTAAAAATGTAGATTCTGACTTAATAGGATTTGACTGGGATCCTGAGATTCTGCCTTTCTGATTTGCTCCCTCATGATGCAAGTTTGAGTAGTATAGGGAGAAATAAGATAGGGTTTGGGAATTTTTATTTTTTTGATATTTTTTGAGGGGAAATTTTTACTTTACTATGGCTTTATCTAAGAAAATAGTGCTTTAACATTAGGAGGCTTTCCTTGGTCTTCAGTGAGTCAGAGCTTCTATATTTCCAACTCCTAGCTTTACCTGAGTTGAACCTCTGGGGACCTGCCAGGGTAAGACACTTGCACACCTTTTTTGTTCAGATTTCTTGTCTCTTATTTAAAAAAATTCTTAATAGTAAAACAAATTCTAGACCTATTTTTGTAGTTACATTTTTTTTGTTCTCCCCCAACCCCCATAATATTACTGCTACTAGTTATTTTTAGTCTGAAGTTATGTAAAAATGATACTTTGGAAAATTAAGATTGTGACACAATGAAATACGGGAAAGTTATAAAATTAAAATTTTCTGACGTCTTTTGAATAAATACTTTAAATATACCCTGTGTGCTTTATTAAAGGAAAAGAGGCAGGCGAGTAAAACTAATATAATGTAAATCTAAAAGAAAATGCATTTATTAAAGTAATTATTATAAATTATAAGAAAATGTGGATTTTAGTCTTTATTTTAATAAAATGTTTTTATAATGGTAATTTTCTCTTCTGACCTGTGATGGATAGGAGGTTAATTGAAGTTAAATGGATGCTTTGTTAATCCTTCATCAATTACTAAATTGGTATGGGGGAGTGCAGGTCAAGGCTACACAAGGCCATGACTAGCTTGTTTTCTTTGGGAGGTTTTTTCCTTTCTCCATACCACACATCATTCTGTCTAGCTGTAAGTAGAGGAGACTCTGCTCTCTCTTCCTCCCTCCCCCCTCACTCCCTTCCCTTTTCTCAGTCTCTAATCTCCTCTCCCTCCCCAGCCCTCCCTTTTCCTTCTTTCTGTGC